TCAGCTAAACACTTGGGTCAGACTGACCTTCTATGCATACTTGTATAATGTGGATTTCAACTGACTACACTAGGACAGCCCAGCTATGATGATGTCCTGTGGTCACTCTGCTCGCAGACATGGCTTACTTTTAATTCAGCCTCTCTGCTGCTTTCTGTACTGGCTTACCGCTGAATCCTGAACCGAGCGTATTAATCACTTGTTACATCCAGGATGTCTGGGGCAAGACTTCCAAAAGATGAGGCAGAGTCTAAGGGTGCTGAGCACTCCCACAGCAGCAGGAAGCCATCCCAAGCCTTGGCCACCTCTGTGTGACCTTTCAAGTACCTTTCTTCAGCCACATACTGCCTGACATACTTAGACAGCAGCAAGGTAGGTAGTTCAAAAAGGCCTCCTCTGCCCCTTTCCTCGGCATTGCCAGGAATCACAGAATCACAGAATCACAGAATGGTAGGGGTTGGAAGGGACCTCTGTGGGTCATCTAGTCCAACCCTCCTGCCGAAGCAGGGTCACCTACAGCAGGCTGCACAGGACCTTGTCCGGGCGGGTCTTGAATATCTCCAGAGAAGGAGACTCCACAACCTCCCTGGGCAGCCTGTTCCAGTGCTCCGTCACCCTCAGAGGGAAGAAGTTCTTCCTCATGCTCAGATGGAACTTCCTGTGCCTCAGTTTGTGCCCATTGCCCCTTGTCCTGTCACTGGGCACCACTGAAAAGAGCATCCCAGACCTGCCAGTGCTCCACTGCAGCTGCCCGTCCCCCAGGAGAAGTGTGGCCACAGGAGTGGCAGGTGTCAGTCGTGCTCAGGTAGCCTGCCTTGTGCTTGAGGAATATGGTGAAGCTGGCTTTATGGTCAGGGCCCTGGGTTTTGGGCTTGAAACAATGGTTTCCGCTCTTAAGATTTTCAGCGTGACCTTGATTCTGTCATTTAGCCTCTCTCTATGCAGGGATCCCACCTGCTCCGGAAGGGTGAGATAAGGATAAATTTGTAAACCCAGAGGACAAGCCAAAATTCTCCGGTGAGGGACATCGTATAGGATGTTAGGTAAACAGCCCTCTCTTGCTGTCTCATGATTTGCATGCAGTAAAGAGCAACTGAGAAAAGTCTTACTGAAAAAAAATCCCATTTTCAATCAGCAGTTGTGTTCTCTGATGTAAATGTGAAGCAACTAACGATGCCTTGCAGTGAGCTGCCATGTGGCGAGCATGGGGTGACGGACCTGTGGTACCCCTCTGCCGCCACAGACCCCCGCCAGGGCCAGGGACATGGTGGGGACTGCTGGCTGAGCCTACAGGGAGCCCCAACCTTCAGAGCCCTCACGCCATCCACGTCCCCCTCCCCTCTCACCTGTGTGCTCAGCTGTTTTCTCCCCAAGCCCCCCACCCCATCACCAACCTCCAAAACCCCTTCTGCACCCAGAGCCTGCTTTATCACTGCAGGGAGCCCTCTCGCCCTGCAGCATCCCACACGCCGCGTCCCCTCTGCGGGGGTTTGTCCTCCCCGGGTGTCTGTGGCCACGGCCCCTCAGCATCTCGGCTCCCATCCCTGGGCCGGGCAGGTGAGTGGATGCTGGAAGGGGGGGGCTGCACATCACCTGACCCCCTCCAGCCGATTCCCTCAGACAGGACGTCAAGTTAATGAGCCCTCAGGCCTGTAATTAGCTGTCAATTACCTCAAATTAATCAACTCCTCGCCTAATTAAGCATAATCGGCAGGTGGGCAGAAAACGGGCCATTGTGCGGGAGCCAGGCTGAGGGAAATGCAATTTCACGGTAAAAGTATTATGCACAATAGCAAAGTGAAAGGTTTTGATTATGCCTAGAAAGTCTCTTTTTTTTTTTTTATGTGGCCAGATTATCACCCAGCACGCTGGATTTACACTGCATTAGCGATCGTCAAGATTAGAGCAGAATCCCCGGATAACAAAACAGGAACACAAGACGTCAATTTATGACATAATAGCAATAGTAATGCAGCAATAATCATAGACGAGAGAAGAAGGAGGGTGAGTCAGGTCTCTCAGCTCTGAAGAGAGAAGCTGCCTGCATTGGAATGGCTTTGATTAAAAATCCCTCTGTTGTGTCCGGAAGGATGATTTTTGTACTTTATTCCTGACAGAGAGGAAAATCAACAGCCCAGGGCAGGTCTGGCAAAGTTGGCGCGTGAAACCACCAGCAACTAGAGGGGCAAGTTAGGAGAACGCAACCTGCCCTCTCGACCCTGCTAAGTGTCTATGCAGGTCCCAAAAGCCCCCTGGTCTGCTCAAGAGAAGGTGCTCATCACACGTGGCATTTCTGTGCCTGCAGCTTTTTGGGCACAAGCCCTGAGAAGAGAGGCTGCAGGCAGCCCCTGCCCCGCAAAAGCTGTCACCGGGTCATGAGAGAGGGGCTGTCGCGCTGCCATGCTGGGGACCGGCCTGGAACCTGGCCGCTGGCTTTGCCGTGGGGACTGGGCTGGACCCTGGCCGCTGGCTTGGCCCTGGGGGATTAGGGACACCCCCACCTTGCCAGCTCCCGTGGTGGCACACACCACAGCCGAGCCCACAAGACCCCTGTTTTTTTTTCTGCCTGCCCTGTTCTCAGTCAAGTGCTTGTTACCGCAGCATGAGGTTTGGGCAGGGACTCCTCTGCAGGCATAATGCAGGAGCCCATGAGATGCTGGGGCTCTCAGTGTCCCCTCTGTCCCCTTGGCAAAGTCACCACTTCCCAGAGCTTCTCCTGCACCTGCCATCTCAGGGTGATCTCTAGACCCTCCTGGGGGGACAGGTCTTTTTTAGGCAATCAGGAGCCACTCCAGTATTCTCCTTTCCCTCAAGTTACAAGTGTTTTCTTCGAGATTCCCCTCTTCATCATGTGTCTTCCTTTGGCTGAAGCACCAGCTCCGCTCTTTGGGGTCCATCAGCACATTTCCCAAGACCAGCTTGGGAGGGATGCACTGTGTGACAGTGTCACGGATGATGACAGGAGCTGCGGGTGAGCAGTGCTCTCCTGCAGCTCCCTCTTTATTTACGGGCATGCTGCAGACACACATTGATTTCACTGGCTCATTCCCATTTAGAGCCGGAGCACTCAAATGACTTACATCAAGGTTGACTAAGCATTTCTATTATCAGCTCCCTGCTTAATCACTCATAACTCTTTTGGCCTGGGAGTGTGAAGTTCTCCAGATCTGATCTCCACCCAAGGAAGCGGTGGTTGCTGTGACTTCGCTGTGTTTGAGCTAAAAGGGCTCACGCGTTTATGAGGGCAAATGCCAAGCCACAGAACTCTTATCCCCTTATAAACTAAAACTCTTATCTTTGTGGAAATGAAAAAAGAAACCCAGAGAAGCAGGCAGTGGAAATCTGTTAGGGCGAGACTGAAGGAGCAGCCTTCAATGATCCGCTGAAAATCAATTGCAACAGGGCTGAGTTGTTACAGGTCGAAAAATGGTGCTGAGAGAGGCAGTGTTATTGCTGCCGCCGCCGCCGCCGCCTGGACGGTCAAGTGCTTCCTTGCTGGGGAAGCCGAGGGCCTGGCTGGGACAGCATAGGGCCATCTCTGAGGGGAGCACAGCCGGAGCCCGGCAGCTGGCTGGCGAGGTGCCTCCGGGAGAGGAGGAGGAAGGGCACAGGGGCAGCACCAGAGCATATCAGAGCAATCCAGCAGCCATTCAGGTATGAGACAGAAAAAGAAAAACACTTATTCCTATCCCCGACATTGAGCCTTAGTGGCCACTCCAGCTGTACCAGATACTGCTGTCCTGAAGATAGTGCCCTAGCTGGGAAAATGCTCTTCTGCCCCTTGGCACTGTCATAACAAAAGCAAAAAAATGCTGGGTGAGCGACAACAGAGCCATGACATTTTCAGAGTTTGAAAAAGTGAAAGCTATAACTGTTTCATTAATAGTTTTGGCCAATGAGTTAGAAACAGCAGTAGGGAATTCACAGCGACCCACCTTTCATTCTGTCTGTATGCAATACTGGGTGTTTGTAAGGATGGTTACCATCACCTCCTTTACTTGCCGCGATGCCGTAACACTGGGGCCGCTCACATTTAGGTTTGGTCATTCCTTGCTGCATTGCTCTGACAAATAGCAGAAGTGGTTTGAAGGGAAGGCACTGCTGCTCTGAACAGTCAATCCTACAAAAGTCATCAGCTTCTCTGCACTTGACAGCTAACTGGAGCAAGGTGCAGAGTGAGCTCTTCCTGACTAACCTTCTGTGGATCTCTATCCCAAGATTATTGAAATGAAGCACTGGAGTTGGAAAGTACTTACACAGCGCATCGTGATTCTCCTACACCTGTTCATTACAATGCAGTTTGCAATCACTTCTCTGCAGTGCTGCAGTCTCTCCCTGGTCATGCATGAAACTAACTTCAGCAATAACTGGGCAACCTCACCAAAAACAAGGGCCAGCCCCCCCCGGGCCAGGGGTTTTGGGCTAGCCTAGGGCGGGCTGCCTGTCCTCAGCTCCGTCTGGCCCTGGGCCCCATGGGAAGGGGGGGCTTTCAGCAGCCTGTCAACATCAGGCACTTAAGAAAACTGTGAAAAGTCACAAATTTCATAGCTGTTCAGTGCTGTGTGTTGTAGCACGTGGAGACCAGCCTCCTCCCGGCGCTGAAGGTACGTGCACACGCGCGTGCATGTCTGCTTGGCAAGGTGCGAGCATGCTGTGCTCCTGGGCAGGAGCCACCTCGGGTCTAAGCACGGCTGTACCCGAGCTGGCGGCGTTGAGGGTGACAAGGTGTGAGGCTGGGTGTGGAGATGCTCCAGCGCAGCCCCACGCTGCCCGGCTGGAGCTGGCTGCCAGCCAGAGAAAACCCGCATCTATCCCTGCTTGTCTGTGTAGACGCACACTTAATAACTGTTACTGCTTCCCAGAGCAAGTTTCTGGGCTTTGTTGTATTTTCACTTGTCTTGCAGGGGGCACAGCAGGCGCTCTGATAGATGAAGAGAAAGGGCTGCTTGCTTTGCAGGGTATTTATGTGACAGTCCCTCTCTCAGCCCAGGAAATCCTTCATGCGGTCCCTCGCGGCTGGCATCCCCGGCCCGCTGCGGATAGGGCGCACTGAGCCCGGGGAGCTGGTGGATGGGCACATCATGGCTGTCCTCTCTCACCAGCAGCGGGTCGCCACAGAGCCACTTCCAGGCAGGCCCTGGGCAGCCGAATCCCCAGACCCAAAGAGGCAGAGCAGCCCCAGGAGCAACGGCAGCTGGTTCTCCACTACCTCGGAGGTGCTGAGGGCACCAGGGGCGTTTGCCCAGGGCAACGACAGTTACTCAGCTGAATCCAAGCACTACGGACAGACAGACGTGGTGCCGGTTTGTTCCCAGTGTTGCTCCAGTGACCTGAGCTACCCTTCGCAGCCGGGACAACTCCAGAAGACCTTTGCACGAGGAGCACTTGGTGCATCACCCTCCGTGCCCATGAGCGTGGCCGCTGCACAATCCTCGTACGTCCCAGCATCTCCACAGCAGAAGCAGCTGCTTTGGAGATGCTGTGGAGGCTGCTGGTGGTGGGGGACACAATGCTGGATGGGGACACCACCACGAAGGGGGCAGGGGGGACGGACAACCCCGTGCTGCAGCAGCCGGCGCGGGTCACGCTGCCCGGCGGCCCGGGGCCGAGGCGGGGAGCGAGCAGGGACCATATGGAAGGTGCCGCCAAACGAGGCCGTTGAAGCGAAGGCTGCAAATGAGTTTAGTAGACAGCCAGACATTTTGAGGAGGGGGGAGACAGAGGGGTGAGTGGAGGAGAGCGGGAGAAAGGGAGAGCCCAGTGCTGCGGCCGAGGGGGACCCGACGGGTCACACAGGTGTGGTGGGCAGCACTCCCTGTCCCCCCACCCCATACCTTCTCCCGGTGCCCTAACTTGAAGACCCCTGGAAGGGAAGAGGGGACCAAGGTGTCGTGGCCTCTTCGTTGTTTTTAATTACTTCCCGTTTTAATCTTTATTTGCACGTCGATCTCTCAGAACTGGGCCAGGGGCTGTACAAAGCCCTCGTCAGCAACTCCCCCAATAATAAACAGGAAAAGGCTTAAGGGGCAAATCACTTGCATGTTAATGAGACTGTTTGCTGGAGTCAAGAGAGAAAACAGCAAACAAACAAATGGACTGAATTCCAGCGGCAGCTGTTTGCTCCTTAATCTCAGCTCGTCAGAGCTGCCCTTTGATGGGACACAATCTACACAAACGATTGTGCTAAATCTTCTAATCTACGTCCTCATTATTACATCCCTTCTTACGCATGTAAATCAGGGACAAACTCATTTTAATATGTAGATAGATTATGGAAGGGAAGGGGAGGGGATTGGAGGGGAAAGGAGCTGCTGGTGGTGTCTGCGCCTGCCGGGCTGGGTTCAGAGGGGTGTTAATGAGGAGCGCAGGGAGGGGAGCTGCCGGCAGAGACCCCCAGGGTGCCAGGAGCAGGAGGAGGAAGAGGAGGACCTGTTACCAGGGCAAAAGGCAGGGTATAAAGGAGCAAGGTCACCAGTGCTGGGACGTTGGAGAAGCCATGGGCATGGGGCAGCATTGGCAAGGCGATGTGACGGGCCACTGAGGAGGACCTCACCCTGGCATCCCCCCAGGCCCTCTGTCTATGCACTCAGCCCCTGGCTTTGCTGAGGCGGGTTGCTGGAGAAGGGCTTGGTGGTGTACAGGAGGGCTTGGTGGTGGCAGAGTGAGAGGTGACAGTGCCGTGCCATGGAGGCCTGCCAGGGCCCTGGTGATGTCCCTGAGTCCCTCATAGTGCAGGGTGTCCTTGCAGCCCAGCACCGTGGTCTCCCACCTCTCCTCGACCCTCACATCCCAGTCAGTGACCACCCAGGCTGGAGTAGCAGGCTACCACCTCAGGCTGCAGAGTCCAAGGGTGCAGCCTACACTGGTTTCAAACAAATGTCATTAGAGCTATGGCTATGATCTTTAATAATGTTCTAAATGGTTGCTTTTACAACAAACACAGCTGTGGGATAAAGAGCTCTCCTGCATTTCCCTGTCTCTGACATCTCCTAATCCAACTGCCAATCTGCAACCTGCACCTTAGCCTTCTCTTTTCGCTGGAACAAGGTGGGAGAAAGGCAAGGTCATGCAGCACCAGCCATATTTATCTGAGCCACCTCGTCCTCCTTTGGTCCAGGAGTGGCAGCCTCCTGCTAAAACAGGAATAATATTTTAAAAACAACCTGACTGAGTCACAAATTCACCACTGACCTCACACCTGTGAAGGAAGGATGCAGAAGACAAGCAGTAGATTGGAGTGCAAAAGATGAGTGGAGAAGAACAGCAGAGGAACGCAGGAACATAATCAAAGAGGCCAGGCATAAAAGAAGTTTACTAGTAGCAGGATAATCAAAGGGAAGAAGAAATCAGTCTGTAAATTCATTAGTAGCAAGAGGAAGACTAAGCAAAATGCTGGATTACTGCTTAACAGGGAGTGAAAATTATTGACAACGGACAATTTTAGAGAAACCAATTACAGTGATAAAGAGGTAAGATCTTGGCATAGAATAAGGAAAGAGTATGATAGAGGTCATGTTAGATGGGTTAGATGCATTCAGATTTATTTGATGTAGTGAGCTTCATTGTAGGTATGTAGAGATTTGGCTACAGCAGTCTCAGAGTCGGTGGTGGCTGTCTTCCAGAACCTATAGAGATGCAGTGGACCACAGGAAAACCACAGGCATTGCTCTTTAAAAAGTGAAGGAAAGGGCAATGGGTAATTATGCACCAATTAGCCTAATTGCCATTCCCATTAAAATTCTGGAATAAATCACCAAGTTATCCCGAAATATCAAAGGCAAAATGAGATGATCAATTGCATTCAGTGTGGATTTTTTAAGGATCGGCCCCTTCCAGTCGCTCTAATTTCCTGCTGTCGCAAGGCAACAGCTCTTGTAGATAAGGAAGGAACAGAAGATGTTGTGTATCATCTGCACTTCAGTAATCTGTTTAGGCTCAATTTCAAAAGCTAGCCTTATAAGTAAACTAGGGAAATATAAATTAACAGAAACAACTGTTAGATAGATAAAAAATTAGTTGAAAAACTGTGCTTGGTGAATAATCCTCAGTGTTTTACTATCAAAATAAAGGATGTATTGAGTACAGCTCCCCAAAGATCTATTCTGGGTCCGTTTCTGCTCGGTGATTTTGTTAACAACATGGATGGCAGAAGAGTGAGTGGGCACATCAGGAAGACACAGATCTCTAAGGCACTTGAAGTACATTGGAGGATGGGCTTAGCATTCAGAATCGTCTTGGCAAATTGGGAAAGTGGTTGAAAAAACATAGATGAAAGTCACTGTGAAACCATGCAAAGAGTGTCAGTGATGCAGGAAAAATGAAAAGCATAAACAGGGGCTGGGAAACAACTTGTTAGGCAGCAATTCTTCCAAAAAAGCACTAGGAGTTAGAATGCATTACAAGCCCTGTCAAAAATTGTATGCTGTGGCAAAAGAGCAAACCTTCTGCTATCAGGAATAAACAAGACTACAGTTGTCAAGACCTCTGGAAATTGTCTTTCCTTCTAATCAGCACTGGCGAGACTTTAGTTGGTGTTTTGAGCCCAGTTTTGGCATCGCCTTTGAGGAGAAATATGGACCCATTGGAGGGCATCTAAAGGAGGTCAGTGAGAATGATCACAGACCTGAGACACGTCTGGCAAAGAAAAAATGGAAGATGTGGTGTTGTGTAGCTTGAAGAGGGAAGACTGAGAGAGGATAAAAGAAAATCCGCAGGCGAAAACGTTGTAAAGAGAGGTGGAAAAATCTGTCCTCTGTGTCCACAGCAGGAAGGTAAAGTCCACAGGAAATTGTAGCAAGACAGATCTGTGTTAGACCTTAGGAGAAAAACTAACAAAAATTAGAAGAGAGAGAGAGAGACTGAGGGGGGAGAGAGAGAGGGAGGCTGGAAGGGAGACTCTGGAAGAGATTACTTAGGTGCTTCTCTGTCTGTCAAGAATGAGACAGGTATAGCCGGTCACACTACGAGGCAGAGAGGAGGAAGAGATGGCCTATCTAGGCCCCTTCCAGTCCTAGTTTTTTGGGAGTCCATCTCCTCATTTCTGAGAGCCGCCATCTAACCTTCAGCAGCATTGGAGATGGAAGTACATAGAGAGGGATGAGGCATAAGGAAGTGCCACTGGTTCACTGAACACATCACTGCTCTCCTCTCTTACACCCCAGCTTAGGTTTACTACTGATCACAGCATGGAGACCTGAGAGATGACCAAATCCTTCAGATGAGCAAAGAGATGGCCCCTACCATCTTCTGGGGTCTTGCTAAAAGAAAACGGTAGGTTATGTGACTCAGATCACTGCCGTGCCAGCCCACGACTGAGCATTGCTGCTAGAGTTGAAACAGTGGTGTGAGCATCTGCCTCCCTGTCACCACCAGAGAACCAGCCTGACTGCTGGTACTGCTCCTCCCTGCTAGGAAGCCTAAATCAAACAATAGCTTGGAGACTTACTATAAACTGTCTATATACCTTAATGGAGGTATCCATTTCTGCAGCATCTCCTTGGGGAAATCTTGGGAGGCTAGCAATGTATCAGGCTGGAATGAGTATCCACCTCAAGAAATGGAGTTTCAAGTAGAGACTGGAAATTTTTTCCTTGCCCCTTTCTCTCTATTCCCAGCTACTCTCAGTCTGTTCACCCTCTGTCACTTTCTTTCCTTGGCCCCACACATTGCTTTTCCACACACCCTTGCCTGTCTGAGGAGCACAAAGCCCTTCATGCTTTCTTTAGGATTAGAGATATGGACCACGAGAAGGATCATAGTGCCTTGGCCAGAAGGACCTTGGACCTCAGTTCAGCAGATCTGGGACTGAAGGTGGCTACATTCCCAGGCTCCATCTTTCTTCGGACCTCTGTGAGCAGCTCACCATCGTGTTCCGGTGTTTGTACAGGTTCTCATGGCACATTGTGTGCCAAACCAGGATATTAGCTCAGGTCTTCAAAGCTCTCTCAGAGTCAATTATGTCTGAGTCCGCATTTTCATCACGGCCCACCTGCTCCTTTGGGAAAATGAAGTTGACTAAGTCCATGATGAAGTGAGGGGAACTGAAGATGAAATGGAGATAAATGTCAAGCAGGTTTGGCTACTAAATAAGTTTGCAGAGGAAATGCACTACTCCAGACTGGATACATGTAGGGCACACAGCAATACTCCCTTTCTTAAGAAGCTTTTCCACTGTAACAGAAAAGAGGGCTTAACATTATAAAATGCGATTAAAGAAAAAAAAAATGCAATAGTGCCTTCCTACCGGACTATATTAGCAGTTGCCAAAATAGTTTAACGGTCAGAAGGGAAAATGTTCTGAGACCCTAAGACATTCAGCAGTCCCCAGTATGCTTGAGGAAAAACAGTATTGGGAAAGACACAGAGTGTACAGAAGATTGCAGGAAAACATGTCAAAGAGATTGGGGAGAGGGGTGAGGAGGATTGGGCCACGAC